CAATTATCGCGTTAAAGGAGAATTTCAAACTACACATATTTTCAAAATACAGCTTTCACAACTTTCTACCTAACAAAACCGCCCAGACGATAGACACTTCGCGATGCGTCCATGTGTTGGCACACCCTCGAAACTTTGCACCGACGTAGTTGATTCCCCTAATCAGAGCGGCGAATCAGTTTCTGGTAAAGTGGAGGTCGGCGAAGTCTCGTTACACGGTCAATCGCGTCCGAACTTTGATCGTAGTCGTCGCAGCTAGGAGAGGGAAAGAGAGAGAGAGAGAGAGGGGGAGAGGGAGAGGAAGAGCCGGGTGAGACTGATCGCCCTCCGAAATGATTGATTGCACTTTCGGTTAGATAAGAACCGAGGGGAAAAGGTGGAGGATAAACGAAGGGAGGTAGTCGACGGGCAGCGGTGAGCCACTGTTGGCCAAGTTCCAGGGACACAAAAGGATAGCCGGCTGCGGATAAAGGGATCGTGAACTTGTTGCGTTCCCGGAGGCGCCTTCCGTTTTCCCTTCATCGCGAGAGCAATGGCGGCCGCATTCACGCCCTCTTCACGCCCGCGAACCGCACGATCATCGATCAATTTTCTGTTCGACGAAAGAGACCGCGATAGCAGATACGCTGGTCTAGATTCTCCGCTTTCGCCGTTGAACTCTTGTCTTATGAGGTCGTGTTGGATCGGCTCTGGCGATTTCGAACGAGAGTCGACAGATATAAATGTCCAATTCTTTTATTTCATTCTATTTTATTCTTTTCTTTTTCGATTCATTTGGTTTTGAGTAAACGAGGACGTAAAATGAGCGGAATTGCTTCTTTTTATAATAAATCATTAGGATCGGTAACGTGTTTCGATTGTAGCTGCGAAAGAAATCAAGGCAAATTGTATAATCTAACTGATCATTCGGCTATTTTTAACGAATTTATCAGACTAACTTTACCGTTAACACGTCGAATGCTGCACGATTTCATGGAGCAAACTACGAAAAAAGGAAGAAAATATAATCTTGTATCATTCTATTATTATTATTGCGCGTTCATCTCGTTGAATATCATCGTATTAGGTAACACTATTTGTAATATACAAATGTTTTCAAATAATCGTCGTTTAATTGAGTGTACCATAGTAATTCGATTCTGTTGGAGGTCACCGGTGACTCCCATGGCGTTCAGCGTGTTAATAAATCATTGAAAGAGAGATTAATTTTACTCTCACTGTTGCAAGTTCACACTCTTCGAGCATGCAACGCTGATTAAACTCGATTAATCTCTTTCAACTCCGATCAACGCGAGCTGACTTCGTCAAACTTAGCTACCTTCTTATTGTACTCGACAACCTTCCACGTTCACTAATTCATTAATTACCTATTTACATTAAATATCCACTCATCCTCTGTACGCAAACATTAAATTGGTGACAAACAATGTGTCTGATGCACGGGCAAACCGGATACATAGCAGCCAGGTATACATTTACCCCAAGAAACGAGGCGGCCGGCCAACCGCGGAAGTTAATAACATTAACTAAATAAACGAACCGGTGGCAAACAATGCTTCGCCGGGCGCAGGCCAAGAATAGCGGGGTTTAGTTTACCAGAACTTCATCACAATGCCTGCAGAGACGCTTTATGTGTTTAAGGGCCTGTGCAACGCGGGCTGCAGCATGTGCACATAAAGGCGAGCCCCGGTTAGCCGGCCCGTGTGTATTGGTTCGTCCGTCCGTTTGGCTCGGTTGGGATCGGTTCGACATATAGGTCAACGTTTCCGAGATTACATCTTCGGGAGGAGTATAAAAGCGGCGCCGTCGATGGTATCGACGTTATCAAGACGCGCGCCGGAACAGATTCCTCTGTTCTTTTTCCTGCCCGATCACCGATAAACTCTGCCGACGATAGTGCAATTAACGTTCCCGCGATACCGTGCTCAGCGCGGAGCGTGGGAAGCGAGTGAGATCTTGCCGGAACTTTGGTTAAATAAATCATTTTGCCGACGCCTTAAATAATCCTTGTGCTACAGTAATGGCTACCATTAGTTGATTGTGCTACTGTACTTGTTGAACAAAACGATTTCCTTCGGGGTTGATGTCGAGTGTGACTGTTCCCAGGTCATTTCTTCTTGAAATTGAAAGTAGCAAGAAAGTCAAAATATATAATCTTGACTATTATACATGTTGACTTAATAAAGAACTTGAACCTATTCGATTCAAAGGAGGATACTCTAATTACGATCATCTACAAATCTAGTTATCCATAGTGACGCTGATAATTGTAAACGCTTCAATAACTGTGATATTAACGAAGAAACACCAATAGAGGAACAATTGAAAGTATCTCATCACTAATTTCGTCAGTTAAAGATTGACATTCTAATATTCTAATTTACACGGAGAAGAGAGTAATAGAACAGCATTACCTACAAGCGAAATGTACAAAGTGCAGCTATTACTGCCAACAACCAAACTTTCGAATATTCTATTTCAGAAACACGTCCGCATTGCTTATTTGCGAACAACAAAACAAAGCAATAATTCTCGCAGTCCCCCGATTAACCAAAAGTCGTTGGAGAATATTCAAAGGCGGTTATGTGCGACAGTTAGGACCCAGGCGCGGCTCAGCTCGCGGTTAATTCCGAAGAACCGTAGTCACGCTCTCGAGACGCAGCAATAATCCCGCGTAATAATTCCGCGCTGAGTCTCGCGCGACAATTACGCTTAATCTCTTCGAAATGATTTCGAGACGCGAGAAATTGCCACGAGCCACTTAACTGTACCGAGCGACTGAACTACCGATAGAGTCGCGCGGCGTCTTAGTCCTGGAAAGGCTTAAAGACAGCTCCTCGCGTTTGAATATCCAAATAATCCTTTGTTCCTCGTCCCGATGCCGTGACTCGGATCTCGCGTCGCGGAAAAGCTGCCCAGAAACTTGCCGCCCGCATACTGTGGCCGTAGTAGTCAATACCGTCACGCGGAGAGCGTTCCGAACGGACACAATGGCGGGTGCACAATGGGATTCCTATTCCCGCGTCGCGGCGGCTTTATTAATATTGCACATTCCCGCGTTGCCGCGGAACTTTTTATCTACCGTATTGTTTACTTGCGTGGTTTAGTTCGTTGTAAATCGATCGTGTTCGTGTACTGGATCGCTGATGATTCTGACACAGTGGAATCTGCATGAAATCAATGCATTAGATCTGCGAAGATAGAGGAAAGAAACGAGAATTAAATGACGACTTAAAAAATCTAGTAGTCGGACAGTTTGAAAATTAAATATTTAAAAATTTGAAAATTTACAATTTTCTCTATTAGCATGCTTCTCTTAATTGCAACTTCATCTGATATCCATAAAACCCTTGAAATTAGTCCTCCAACAGCCAACGACGTAATCTTTGATAATTTAAACGTTTCGATGTTCTCCGTTACCTGTAATAATAAAAACTAAACAAAAATGATAGCAAAAGAATAAAAACGTAAACTGCATTAGATACGGTATTAACGCCAGTACCACGGAGAATGATCGTGAAAAATTAAATTACCCTAATTTTACGAACTTCAGAGTACAATGCACTTAATAATACAAAGAAGGATACAGATAGCGCCCCTATATAGGGTGTCCCGGATGTAGTAGGAGAACCGAGAAGATGGCGTGTCTACGGAAAAAAGAAGAATCACGAAACAGCCGGCACAATGGCTGGTTCACAATGAGGCTCGTGTTCCGCAGCCGCGGTAGACTTATTAATATTGCACGCTTCACGTCGAAGCAAACTTTTATCTACGTTCCTGTTTGCTCGGTTCACTTCGCCCCGCATTAGCGCTCGTAACTTGGCGGAATGTCGGCTCCACGTCCGCCATTACAACCGGT